AAAACACCCAGAGACACTACAGGAATGGAAATGCCCTGGGGTTGCTGGTGCTGCCAGTGGTTTCAGGGCTTGCCCAGCCTGGGAAGGGTCTCATACAGCATCTTCTGGATCTTCACATGATGGGGTAGGGGCTCCAGGAGGGCTGAATGAGAGGAGGGTGGGGGAGCCCAGCCAAGCTCCCAGGGGCTTGAGGGTCAGAGAGCTCTGGAGCAATCCCCTTGCTGAGCTCCAGTTTAGGGAAAAACTGTGGGCAGTAGGATCCTCACCACAATGACACTGACCATCTCCTCCAGGCCTCTACCACGCAAGGGGTGACCAAACACAGAGCTGTGCGAGGGGGACATGGGCAGGCTGGGAGCCTCGGAGAGAGGAGGTGGGAAGTGGCTACACCCCATCTTCACAGTCTTCTCATTCCCTTCGAGCTTGGGAAGGGACGGATGCCCATCCGTTTACTGATGCACTGTTCATTCACATTCATGACTGCTGAGCGCTCACCATGAGCGAGGCGAAGAGCAGGCCTGTGCCTTCCCCAGCAGCCAGGTCTCTTGGCCCCTCCATGTCCTGTGTTGGCCTTGCAGAGAGCATGCCCTGAATAACTACTCAAGTATCCGCTTGAGAGAGTGAATGAATGAATAAGCAAGTGAAGAAGCAAGTAATGAAGGAACAGACAAATGGGCAGATGGTGAGTCCATGCTGCTTTGCTAGCCCCGAGGATAAGAGTATGTGTCCTGGGTGTGCAGGACTCTCCCATGGATCACGGAACACCCAAGCCAGTCCCCTCATGACATACTTGCTCTGTCTGGAAATGAACTACTCCTCACTTAATGCAACACAGTAACCGTTTCCCACCATGACCAAAGGGTCTTCAACATACTAGACCCTTCCTGGTAGCTCCTTTAATTTCAGTGAAAGTTCACCAAGCGCCCGCTATTTGCAGCCTGGGCTGGGGACACAGAGGTGCATGTTGGCTCCTGTTCCCAAGAGATGGCAGAGAGGGAGAGGCCTGAGCCCATCGGTGGGAAGAATGTCATTTCTGCCATGAAGGCCTCCAAGCTTCATGAGAATGGTGAGGCCCCAAGGGAAGGCCCTCCTGCTGTGTCCACACCCTCTCCCTTGAGCCCTCCACGCCCTTCATGTGACAGACCTGTGAGGAGACAGTACACTCCCATTTGGCAAGAGACCTGAGCCTCACAGACCCCTTGGAACCTCCTAAGTGCTGGACTGAGGGCCTCACAGAGCATTTCTCAGCCCAGGGAGCTGTGTAAGAGCACTGTGGGCATGAGAAGGAGCGTGCCACCTAGAAGGGGACCTGGCACCACCCTCTGCGGACCCCACCAAAACCGGAGGGGGTTTGACAAAACCTGTATCACATGACACAGGTCTGAAGCCACCCAGCCCTGTCCCGAGATCCGTGGCATGGACCACCCTGAGGACCACGGAGCACGGGGGCCACTCACCACGCGGCCGGGTCGTACTCAGCCCAGACCCGGATGAACTCGTCCAGGTGGTGAGGCCCTAGGATGGAAGAGTCCCGTGTAAGGTACTCAAAATTGTCCATGATCACGGCCACAAAGAGGTTCAACATCTGCAGGACAGGAAGGAGAAGGGGTGACATAGAGAGACCTCAGCCCGCCCTCTACCCTAGCCCTTACCCTCCAGCCAAAGTCTGTGTGCGAAACCATCATGGCAGCGGAGGCCCCTCAAACTCAGCCAGAGCCCGTCCAGCCCTGCTCCCCCCAGCCTCTGGGCCTCCACTACACCACCACCACCAGCCCCCGTGGCACCCAGCCTCCTACCCCAGGGTTCTAGGTCCCGCAAACTAACCCGAGCCCCTCCCACTCCCTGCTTCTGCTGCCCTACCCTAATTCATGTTGGCAACCCCTCCTGCCCCACCTCCCATCACCATCCTCTTCCCCTCCTAGCTAGCCTTCAAGGAAAACAGTGACTTTGGAGTTAGTAGTTTGGACTCTAGAGGCCAAAAGCTCAGCTTCTTTTTTTTTTAATTGAGTTGAAATTCACATAACATACATTTAATCATTTTGAAGAGTACAACTCGGTGGCTTTAGTGTATTCACAATATTATGCAACCACCTCTCTAGTTTCAAAAAAATTTTTTTTTTTTTTAAGATTTTACTTATTTATTTGACAGAGAGAGACACAGTGAGAGAGAGCACAAGCAGGGAGAAGGAGCAGAGGGAGAGGGAGAAGCAGGCTCCCGCTGAGCAGGGAGCCTGATGAGGGACTTGATCCCAGGACCCTGGGATCGTGACCTGAGCCGAAGGCAGACGCTCAACGACTGAGCCACTCAGGCGCCCCTCAAAAATTCTTTATCACCCCAGAAAATGCCTTGTACTGTAAACAGTCACTCACTTATTTCCCCTTTCTCCCGTTCCCTAGCAATCTCTGTTCTGCATCTATCGGCTTGTCTATTTGGGGTACTTCATATAAAAGGAATCCTACAATACAGGACCATATAGGGCCCTTTGTGCCTGACTTCTTTCACTTAGCATGATTTTCTGAGGCTCAGCCATTCATTTGGGTCAGAACTTCATTGCTTTTTAAGGCTGAATAATATTCCATGGTAGGTATATACCAGTTTGTTTATCTATTCATCCATTGATGGATATTTGGGTTGTTTCCACCTTTGGGCTGAACTGTTTTCCACAGAGGTTGCTGCATTTTACATTCCTATCACAATGTGCAAGAGTTACTATTTCTCCATGTCCTTGCCAAAGCTGGCTATTTTCCATTAAAAACATTATCATCATTATAGCCATCCTAGTGAGTGTGAAGTGAGTGTGTGGTTTTGAGTTTCCTTAATGCCCAAAGATGATGAATGTCTTCATGTGCTTGTTGGCCACTTTGTATATCTTTTTGGCAAAAATGTCTATACTGATTTTTTGCCCATTTTTTAAATGGTTGTCTTTTGTAATACAGTTCTAAGAGTTGTTTATGTATTTTGGATATTATCCCCTTATAAAATATGTGGATTAGTATTTTCTCCTATTCCTTAAATTGTATTTTCACATTTTTTATAATCCCCTTTGACACACAAAAGTGTTTAATTTTGAGTAGTCTAATTTATTTTTTTCTTTTTTGCTTGTGATTTTGGTGTTGAATCTCCAAAGAATCCTCTGACAAATCCGAGATCATGAAGATCTGCCCCCTATGCTTTCTTCTATGAGTTTTGTAGTGTTAGCTCTTACATTTAGGTCTTTCATCAATTCTGGGTTCATTTTTGTATATGGGGTGAGGTAGGGACCCATCTTTATTTTTTTGCATATGGACATCTAGTTGTCTCTTCATCATGTCTTAAAGAAACTATTCTTTCCATACTGAACAGCTTTGGCATCCTTGTCAAAAATCAATTGTCCATAGATATTTGGATTTATTTCTGGAATCTCCATCCCACTCCATTGGTCTATCCTTATGTCAATACCGTACTGTCCCCGTATCATCCTTATTAAGATATATATAACTGACATACTTATAAGACACTTAAAGTGCATGTTGTGGTATATATACATACATAAACATTGTGAAATCATTCCTACCATCTAGTTAATTAACACATCCATCACCTATTTTTTTTGGTAGAACACTTACGTTCTACTCTCTTAGAAAAATTCAATTATACAATACAGTGTTATCAACTATAGTCACCATGTTTTACTTTACATCCTCAGACATTATTCGTATTATAGCTGAAAGTGTGTACCCTTTTACCAACTTCTCCCTATTTCCCCAACTCTCCAGTCCCTGGCAACAACTCTTTTACTCTCTGTTTCTACGGTTTGACTTCTAAAAAAAATTCCACATGTAAGTTATACATGTAGTATTTGTCTTTTTCTGTCTGGCCTTTTTCACCTAGCATAACGCCCTCAAGATCCATCTGTGTTGTCACAAATGACAGAAGGATTTCCTTCTTTCCCATTGCTGAAAAATGTGTGTGTGTGTGTGTGTGTGTGTATACACACACCAAATCTTCCTTATCTAATTCATCTGTTGATGAACACTTAGGTTGTTTCCACATCTTGGCTCTTAGGATTTTGATTTGCATTTCCCTGATGATAAGGGATGCTGAGCACCTTTTCATGTACCTGTCGGTCATCTGTATGTCTTCTTTGGAAAAGTATCTCTTCAGCCACATTGTTTTTACTCATGGTACCTTTATAGTAAGTTTTGAAATAGGGAAATGTGAGTTCTCTCACTTGGTCTCAGGGAGCCCGATGCGGGGCTTGATCCCAGGACCCTGGGATCATGACCTGAGCCGAAGGCAGACGCTTAACGCCTGAGCCACCCAGGCGCCCCAGTCTTTAATTTTCAAGATTTTTTGTTATTTGGGGCACCTTGCCATTCCATATGAATCTGAGGATCAGCTTTTCCATTCCTGTAGAAAGGCCACTGGAGCTCTGACAGGGATCACACTGAATCTAGAGCTCACTTTGCGGGGACATTACCACCTTACCAATATTAAGTCTTTTGATCCATGGACATGCATGCCTTTCCATTTAATTAGGTCTTCTTTAACTCATTTTAGCAATATTTTGCAGTTTTCACTGTACAAGTTTTCATCTCCAGGGGTATTTATTTATTCCTAGGTATTTTATCCCTTTGGGTGCTACTGGAAATGGAATTATTGCCTTAATTTCCTTTTCAGGTTGTTTACTATGTGTTGATTTTGTACCCTGACACTTTGATTAACTCATTTATTAGTTTTAGTAGCATGTGTGTGTGTGTGTGTGTGTGTGTTCCTCAGGATGTTCTACATATAGAATAGTATCATCTGCAAATAGAGATATCTTTACTTCTTCCTTTCCAATTTGGATGCTTTTTATTTCTTTTTCTTGCCTAACTGCTCTAACTAGGACTTCCAGCATGATGTTGAGTAAAAGTGATAAAAAGTGGGCATCCTTGGTGATGGGTATTCAAGAGGGCACGTTCTACATGGAGCACTGGGTGTTATACGCAAACAATGAATCATGGAACACTGCATCAAAAACTAATGACGTAATGTATGGTGATTAACATAACATAATTAAAATAGAAAAAAAAAGTGGGCATCCTTGTCTAGTTCCTGCTATTTGGGGGAAAAGTTTATAGTCTTTCACCACTGAGTATAATGGTAACTGTAGGTTTTTCATAAATGTCCTTCATCATGTTATGGATGTTCCCTTCTACTCCGAGTTTGCTAAGTGTTTTTGCGATGAAAGGGTGTTGAATTTTGTCAAATGCTTTTCTGCACCAATGAGATAATCATGTGGGGTTTTTTCCTCATCACACTGGTTAATCCCTGTATGTTGAAAATGCATCCTTGCATTCCTGGGATAAATCCCATTTGATCATGGTGTATAATCCTTTTAATGTGTTGTTGGAACTAGTCTGTTAGTATCTTGTTCAGGATTCTTACTATATATTTATCAGGGACATTGGTTGTAGTTTTCTTTTTTTGTGGCATCTTTGCCTGCCTTTGGTATTAGCACAATGGCAGCATCACAGGATGTGTTAGGAGGTGTTTGCTCTTCTACTTTTTGGAAGAGTTTGAATAGGGGGCACTTGCTTGGCTCAGTCAGTTAAGCATTTGAGTCTTGATTTCAGCTCAGGTCATGATCTCAGGGTCGTGAGATGGAGTCCCACGTCAGGCTCCGCAATCAGCATGGAGTCCGCTTGAGATTCTTTCTCTCCCTCTTTTCCTCCCCCCTCTAAAAAAATACAAAGAGTTTGGATGGGATTTATGTTAGTTCTTTTTTAATACCATTTTCTAAATTGTGGTAAAACATACATAGCAAAAAGCTTACCAATTTAACCACTTTTAAGTGCCCAGTGCAGCAGCGATCAAGCACACCGACGCTGTTGCGCAACCATCCCCACCATCCATCCCCAGAACTCTTCCATCTTCCCCAACTAAAACCCTGACCCCATTAAACACTGACTCCCACCCCCTCCCCGGTCCCTGGCACCCGCCATCCTGCTCTCTGTCTCTGTGAACTTCACTCGAGGGGCCTCAGATAGGTGAAACCATACCGTTATTTTTCCTCCTGTCACTGGTTTATTTCACTTGGCGTAACGACTGCACGATTCATTCATATTGAAGCATGGGCCAGAACTGCCTCTCTTGTTAAGGCCGAATAATAGTCCCTTGTATGTTCATGTCACATTTTGTGTACCAATCGCTTGCTGATGGGCACTTTGGTTGCTCTTACCTCCTGGCCATTGTGAATAATGCTGCTATGAACGTATGTGTACAAATATTTATTCAAGTCCCTGTCTTCAGTTCTGGCATATGCCCAAAAGTGGAGTTGCTGGATCATACGGCAATTCTATTTTCAATTTACTGAGGAGCCACCATACTATCTCCCCCAGCTGCTGCACCTCTTCACATTCTCACTGGCAGTGAACGAGGGCTTGTGTCTCCAGCACCCCAGCAAACGGCAGGTGCCGCTTTCTTTCTCTTCTTCTCTCATGCCTGTGTTTACTCATCAGTCGTGTTGGCTCTGTCTTTAAAATGCAGCTCAACTCCCTTCATCGCCACCCTTCTCTTGGCACTGTCACCTCCAGCCATCTCCTGACCACTCTTCACCTCTCCTGACCAGAAGCCAGAGCAAGGTTTTAAAATATGAACCAGATTGTGTCATGCCCCTGCTCAAAGTTTCCCAGAGGTGTCTGCTGACTTGGACCTAGTCCACTTACCTCCCCAACAACCAGTTTCCTGAGGCTCATCTGCCCCAGGCACACCAGCTGGAGTGCTGCTTCTTTGTAACTCATCACCATGGCAGAGGCTAAAGGCTAAAGGACAGTTGTCCCGTGGAAACTTAAAACCCTTTCTGAGAAGGAAAGGCAAGGCCCACAGGAGCTCATTACAGAGTGGGTCCTTTTAGAGGTCATCATCTCTGGGGAAACAGGACCATCAACACCGAATCAGCTTGTAATGTGACATGAATCAGTATCAGGGATCAGTGACAGATGTAGGGGGGGCCTGGGATGGATTGAGACAGGTGGACACATGGGCACAGTGACCAGGACTTACCAGAAAGGAGCAAAGGAAGATGAAGGAGACAAAGTAGAAGTAGGCAAAGTCGCTCCCACACTCACTGGCATTGGCGTGCTCATCACAGGCCTGGTTGCTGAGACAAGACAGCATGATCTCGTGCCAGGCCTCCCCAGTGGCACTCCTGAGAAGAAGGGCAGAGCCATGAGACCCACAAAGGAAGGCCCAGACCAGCCTGAGAAGGAATCTCAGAAGAGCTGGCTCAAGTGCGTACCCTCCCTGGGCTCCCTCCCGCAGAGAACCCACTCATATGTAAGGTCTGGGTAAGAGACGCCTACTTCTGAAAAAGAATCCTCTGGCATTAGGTTTTCAAATTGATCATTAACTCGGAAAGAACTAGTTACTGAAAACAAGGCACTGCACCAAAAGTGAGCACCATGGTGAGCACCCCTTCATGGACCTCTGGCTCCTCGGAGCCAACACAGCCCTTCCTGGCCTCCCTCACCCAGCATGTGCCATCCCAGCCTTCCTTGATGCAAGAAATGGGGGCTCCACCCCTCCCGTTTCTTAGGCCAAATATATTGCAGGCTTCCTTGCCTCCACTCCTTCTCACCAGCTTCATCAGCTCATCTACCTCCAAAAAACAGCTAGACTCTCACCACTTCTCAACACCCTGGGCTAAGCAACAACCACCTCCCCTGAGCTTCTGCAATAGCTTCCTCACGGATCTTCCTGCTCTGCCCCACCCAACAGCCAAGTGGGTCCACTAAACACAGGTGAGATCAGGTCACTTCTCCTCTCAATGACCCCTCACTCACTGCAAAAGCCAAAATTCACACAACTGCCCACAGCTCTGTGAAATTCGTGGCCTGCTCTTTCCCAGTGGTCTCTGCTCGGTCCACTCCAGCCACACCGGCGTCTGCTGTTTCCTGAACATACCAAGAACAACCCCACCAGCCTGAGGGGCCACCCTGGAGGACCCTTCTTCATGGACTTTGGTCCCTGGGTATGCAGCCAGCACAAAGGCCAGATGTGCACTAGACTTGCAGGCGGACCAGAGGCCTGGGTCCCCGCCCCCCCCAGCTTGGTGTGCCTGTGTGGCCAGCTCTGGGCACAAGCTGAGCCCACTTCCCATTAACAATGGCTAGGAGTAGGGGGCTTTTCCTGCAGGGCAGCTGTCCAATGCCAGGCCTGACTGATACTGGTGCTCACATGTGACACAGAGACCAGGGAGGAAAAGAGATCTTTGAGAACAAAGACTTAAAACTAAGGCTGGTTTCATAGGCCTGCCTCAACTCTTACAGCAGGAGGCAGGACATTAATAAATGAAGAGATGAAATGAACGTAATAGCTAAAGTCCAGAGAAATGATGTCATTTGAAGAAAGTGTAGGCCTAAGGATACTTGTCCATCTGACTAAAAAAACAAGAGTCAGACAACTCTCTCCAGGCAGCTTAGCTAAGCAGATCGGTCTGATCTCCCTCCATAGAAAGAAGAACTTCCACGGGCCCTGGAATGCATCTGCCTGGGATTAACCGTGCTGGGCATCCCCCAGCACGGGCCTTACAGCATCCTGGTGCATCTGCATAAACAAACACACGTGTGGGCCCCTCCAGAAGGAGCCCCAGGCAGGGTTTTATGTCAGCACCCCTCCTCCACAAGTCCCTACGAAGAGCTCCTTTCTTCCCTCCTAGGGTCATGTGGTGGGCTTGCCTTAACGAAGGGGACCCTGGAGGCAGTGAGACACATTCACCCCCTCCCCACAGCCCCCAAACCAGGATGGCCCACACAGAGTGCCACATCTCGGAACAAAAGCTGACACACAGCCCTGTCGAGCACACAGGGAGGTGCCTGAGCCAGAAACAAGCTATTCTGCCTGCATTGGAGCCTGGAGCCTAGGGAATTGCAGTCCTGTGAGCCATGGGGGGCAGGTGGAGACACTCACACCAGCGGCTCTGGCCAGTTGAGTTCCTTGGGTCCCTGAGTAACACACTCTGCGTCCCCCTGCCCTGCTCCGCACCCCCCCGGCCCCCGGTCCCACAGACCCTGCAGTCAACAAGGTGAGCAGATGGAAAGCCTATGGCCAGCACACCGAAAAAGGCCCTGTGGACACCTTCTGTCCTCCCAGACCCTTGGCTGCAGCTTCACCAGAGGCCTTCTGGCCACCGCCAAGGGTCTGAGCTGAGGTGGTCAAGGCCAGCCTCACCCGGGGCTCTCAGGTTGACCTCCCTCAGGGGCTTCCCCTCCATCTGTCCCGAGGCCCAGGAACCCTTAGGGAAGGAAGGAGGAAAAGGGGAGAAGAAGCTGGGAAGGCCCACTGAGGGGAAGCCAGCACAGGCTGAGGGGCAGAGGGGGTGGCCCTCTGGGTCAGCACACGCCCTGTCCTCCTAGACAGAGGAGCCTCTGAGCCTGCGCGGACTCCACCAACAACACACCTGAACAACAGCATCAAGGCTTGTAAAAACGTCCTGAAGTTGTTGTGCCGGTTGATGCTGGTGTCATCATCCAGGGCAATATTTCCAAAAACCTGAAATGAGAAAGAAGGCTGCAGGCTGATACTGCTGGGTCCTCAGGAGCTGTGGCCAGGCAGAAGAGGAGGTGTGCACATGAGGACCCACAAGGCACAGGACACTGCCCTTAGCCCCACCACCGCTGCAGGGGCTGGAGGGGCCGGCACTGCCAGCCAAACACGTCACTGCCCCCCAGCTCTGCACGTCTACAACTGCAAGTCTGCATGCCGAGTGAGAATGCCACCGGAACTAAGTTTACATGGGCTGCGCCATATATAAGACAGGAAGCATCTGAAAGTTCACTCTGTCATCGATGACTCCGAAGTGGTAATTATACTGGTAATAGCTGTGAGGTCAACTTGAAAGTTTCTTTTTAAATTTCTGTGCAAATATCACAATGGGCTTTTTATCCATTTTAATTGATTTCTTTTTAGTGTTAGGAATGCAAACAAGTCAGTAACTGTACTTGGCTTAAAATCTGGAATCTGGCTGAAAAATTTATGAACTATCACATATTCACCAAAAACAAAGATCAGTGGCCCTTCTGGTCTGATAAATTCCCAAACCAAAGTGGGCACAAATATATATATTTTTTAAATAGCATCAGATCTCAGCAAATTTTAAAGGAAGAGAACCTTTTCAATCCTTGAAGTAGAGTTTAAAATCCGTTCTCAGCTAACCTTTAATACAATGGCTTCTCCCACTATAATTTAACATTTGGATCCATCTCCCACCCTACTGTTGAAAAGTGGCCAGATGCCAAAGATTTAAAACTGGAACACTGCTTTGTGTCTTTTAAATGTTTTTCCAAACAGCTGACAAAGGGTTCTTTGGCAAAATAAAGGCAATCTAGCTTGTCCAAGCTGAATTTGACAGTACAGTGATCTGGTGTGATCCTGTTGACTTTTTTCTTCTGTGATATATAATTTCCTGTAAAGGATCAGGTCAACTCTCTGGACTATCAGAATGACCAGCTGGTGCTTTGCAGGCCACTCAGCACCAGGCAGATGTGCTCAAAAGCTCCAGCACCATGGGGGCCCAGCACCCAATCAAACATGCCCATCAACACCCTAACAGCCCAATGGGGTTCCATTCAGGAGCACAGCAGACGGGGGAGCTACGCCTCACTAGTGGACTCTGGGTGACAGGCCCAAACCCGTGGTGCCCAGCCTCTGTGTCCGTACTGGTAGAAGCAGCCTTTCTGAGAATTAAGTTCATAAAGTGCTTCAAACATAGAAATGTTCCCCAAGTGCCAATCTGTCATTGTTACCATTTGATGACCATGGTCAGTGCCCTTTTGCCCCAGGGCACAGGGGCCCCTTCAGCTCCCTGTCCCATCAGGCGCACCCACCTGCATGCCGATGATGGCGTAGATGAAGAACAGCATGGCGATGAGCAGACACACGTAGGGCAGGGCCTGTGGAGACACATGGAGGACAGGGCAGCTCCAGGGAGGGCTGCCCAGCTACCTTGCTCGGGCCTCGTCTGCAGAGTGGACGGTGGCCGGGTCTCTGGGGCCACCCAGACCCCAGCGACCAGAGATCCACCCCCACTGACCATGAAGCCCCTCCACCAAGAGACTGCCTCAGTTCCTTCATCTATAATCAGTCATAGAACCCACCTCAGAGTCAGTGAGCATTACCAAGATGCTCTCTGGATCACTTAAAATGTCTTCGTAAACTATAATAGGATAACGGGTGCCAACAAGGAACCTCCACGAGGAGGGGCTGCTCTGGTGGCAAGGAGGAGGTGGTGGCCACAGCACTGTGCTCACACAGGGGAGGGTCAGGGCACGAGGGCCGTGCCTGGCTTCACCTTGAAGGACTGGACGAAGGTCCACAGCAGGATGCGGATGGTATAGCCCTGGCGCAGCAGCTTGATGAGCCGGGCAGCACGGAAGAGGCGGAGAAAGCTGAGGTTGATGAAATTGTTCTGTAGGGAAGAGAGGCTGTTCTCTAACCTGCAGAGACCAGCCTCCTGCAACTGCAGGGGCTGCTCCCCACCCACCTCTCCCTGGCGTGCTGTGGTCCCGAAGAAAAGCGGATACAAGGAGAGGTCGAACAAAACATCACTGCTCTACAGTATAAGCAGCAATCGGCCACCAGAAAACCTTCCAAAAGTAAAGCTTGTCATTGCAAATCACTTCTCATGCAGCAAATCAAAGAAACCCCTCTGCTTTAGGCTCCCCTGCCCCCGACAGGGAGGGAGAGAGAGAAAAATTCTCAGAAGCAGCTCCTTGCTGCCAGGTGGAGCCAGGAGACCAACTGTGGACAGGCCTCTAACACTGACCGCCTCTTGCAAGACGCAGCCAAGCCGTCCAAGTGCCGGGCAGGGCTGCTTCTTCACCGAGAGCCTCTGAAGGGCCCTTCGCTTCTCCATACGGCTAGCAAAGCCCCTGCTGCCTGGGACCTGGCAGAGGGGCAAACATCTCTTCTGGGGCTGCTCCTGGTGCCTGCAGACAAGTCACCATAGGAAGGGTAAGTGTTGGCGATCCTGCTGCCCACACCACGGAAGCCACTTATGAAGTCCGCAAATGGTCTCAACTCCAGAGATCCCAGGGTATCTTGCACTGCTCCCTCATCCAAGAGGTTCAAAATCAAGCACAAAAAGAAGCAATAAACTCTGGACTCCACAGATTACCTGGGAGTGAGGCTTCCACCCTGGCCCAGGGGCGCCTTGAGTTATTGGCACATCCCCTTCAGGGAGCATAGCTCTGGACGGTGTCCATGACGTGGGGGTGCTTGTGGCCCTGGGCAGCCTCCCACCCTCTGTCTGCTTGGAGACCAGGTGCCTGCACGCAGCCTGACAGCAGCTTCCTGCCACCTTGGTGTTTTGACATATGCAAGCAGCTCAGGCCTAGACACATCGTATCGCCAGATTCAGTGGTCGGATGAAGAGAAAAGAACACGACATGTTGAATGAGAGCAGCAGTAGGAGAGCACGTGCAGGAGGCATGGGGAGCCTGGGGAGAGCTGGCCGCCCTCCCTCCAGGGCTGCCCATCTGCTCTTGGCTGGGCTGAGGCCTTCGGTGGAGAGGCAGGTCTCACTCTTACTTCTAAGGACAGCGGCCCCAACCCAGCCCTTGTCTGTCTCTTCGGTTCCCACCGGGGTGGCTGGAGACTAGACTGTCTCTGCTGGAGGGCTAGATGTTGGAGCCATGGGGTGGGAGGTCTGGTAGTCACAAGGAGGTGCTGACTGTGGTCCAGATCAGCAAGAAGGCAGGAGTGGACCTTGAGGTGTGACCCTGGAGGGCACACAGTTTGCCTAGTGCTCCCTCACCTGCTTGTGCTGGGGAAAGTGAATCTCAGTGGTACAGGATGCCCAAGAGACATCCACACCCGCCCCGTGGGCCCCAGGTTCTCAAATGAGCCAGTCACCTCGGGAGGATGGGCACAGAGACGGACGGGAGACTTTGTCTACAGTGCTGGGAAATCCTTTGTACAAGACAATAAAGCAGAGGAACGGGAGGGAGCTTCCAAGGGCCTGGCCTCTAAAGCACCTGCTCACTTGGGTCTGGAGGGGCCAACGCTGTGATAACACAGTTATCATTTGCCCAGCCCAAAGCACTCTGCTCAGGCCACTGGCACAGACAAGATTTCCTGGAGATATTGGGGAAAATCTAGGCTCTGGGTGAGAAAGAAGGGATGGAAGACAAGGCAGGGGAAGGCGCTGTCCATCCACAGAGTTAGTGCATGAACGCAAAGCTCAACAAGTCACCTACTACTGCTTGTTGAGACTCAAGTTCTCACGCCTCCTCCCAGACGTCTTTTCTCGGGGCTCCAGGGGGCATTCGGGAGAGGGGTGGGGGTGGCAACAGACAGACAGCCCTAGAGAGCCATGAGGACGGATGGCGGCAGCAGCCACAGACGCTCCGAGCGCAGCGTGGCAGGCAGAGCACTCCGTGGCTGCGCCCAGGGCGGGAGCTGCCTGGCACCACCATGCGAGCGCATGCAGGAGAGCAGGGGGCAGCAAGCACACGGCAGCTCCCCCACGGCTAGTCGCCTCTGGCCTCGGCCAACCCCTTGGAGGTGGACAGAGCTTGCCCCATCCTCCCAGAGTCCGTGGTTCCTGTCACACCAGAGAGCACCTACTACTTCACCTACTATTTCAAAGCCAGGCCCTGCCTTATTGCCATCTGCCTCTGCATCAGGAAAGGTCTAGAGCACCCCAAAGATGCATCATCGCACCTCTCAATGTGGTAGCTGATTCACCTTGAGGGTACACTGGTCCCTGGCTCCTCTGAGCCCCTTGCTTCCTCATCCACAGGATGGAGACATGAGGACATTGTGCCCAGACAGCGAGGAGTCTGAGATTTAAGGGATTTAAAGGTACACCGGGCATTGTGAAACACGACCCCCACAAAGGGGATCAACAGGCCTCAGACCCAGGTCGGCCTCTCCTGCGTCCAAGTACATCACTGTTTCCAGGCAGGGTCAAGCAAAGTGACCTGTGCACATCTGCTGGGGGCCACAGTCCATGCTGCAACAAACTGCTCTCCTAATCAGCTTTGTTCTCATGGGACAACGATGAAGAAAAGAAAAGCTCTGTATACCCCAACATGCGCAGCATGTCAGGTGATGATGTGTGCTCTGGAGGACGACGAAGGGCACGGGGCGGGGGGGGGGGGGTGGCGGTGCTCTTCCCAAGTGGACGGGAAATGGCCACGAAAAGGCCTGAGTGAGTCGAAAATTTCTGCGGCATCAAATGGTATTTTCTCACAACTCAAGATCTTCTGCTCCACTTGTGAAATACTTTATCATTAGTGTTTGTTTTCTGCAACAGGAATCTCAAATATTTGCTACTTTATGTGAATTTCCAGTTACAGCTTCAGTTTAATCTGCTCTCCTCTCAAACATCACTGAAGGCCTGGAAGGAAGCCCCAGTTCATGCTACCTGTACTCCACACGAGCTCACTGAGCAAGGGTGCACAAGTGGATCAACGATGCCTGGGTGCAAGAGCCCTGAGCTTCACTTTCTCTGGGGGCAGACCCTCTTCCCACTCCATCAGGCCTTACACCACCCCTTTTTGAATCATGAAGACAAAATCTCCAATCCCCTCCAGCCCTGAGACCCAGAGAGGGTTCCCTACAGAAGGGCATGTCCAGGGAGAATGCTATGGAGACATCATCAGAGGCCACTGGGGAGAACCAGCCTTGTATGTTGGTACGGTGGGGACAGAGCAGAAGGGAGATGGTGCAAGAGAAACCATGGACTCTACAGGATCAGGTCCAAACTCATGTCCTACAAAATCCCTCCAATTCTGAGCCCAATCCCGACAAGAAAAACTGGGCACTTACCCGCTTCACTCAGAAGACCCTCCACCTCCTCTCTAGACCCAAGGCCAGTTCCTGAATCAAATGGCTCCTGGGGGGGCCTTCAGAAGCCCCTGCTGGACCCCAGGAGCTGAGGAGAAGAGGCCAGAGGGGATGGGTACTGCCAGACTCTGACCACACACCTTAGGAAGGCAGTGGTGAGGAGTCACAGGAAATGGAAGAAAGAACAGGAGTAGAGCAAGCAAAGCAAGGAGTTTTAAGAACTGTTTAAAGTCATGAAACCAACCGTTTCCTATATGTGATGTTTTCATGGATGGATATTTGCATATTATTTACAAATTGGGATGTTTGAGCAGCAGGTGCGCAACATACAGACGGAGACATGGTTTTCGCATTGTATGTTGGTTGGATGGCGTGAGTCAGCAGGTAGGTTAAGGTAAATCAAGAACAAAAACAGAAAACAAAAGAGAAAATGAGTCATCAACACAAGCAAAAACTCAAACTTTGAATACCTCACTGGAAAATTTTAGGATTTTAGTAAACTTTGCATATTTGGCTTAAAATGCATCAAATCAAAACATATTTTTGAAATCTTAGGTTATGCAGACAGGGTGGCATTCATTTGCATTCCTGTTTGTAATGCAAATCCAAAGATGACTCACAGACACTTATTTTTTTATTTCCAGGCAAAGAAATCAATGTCAGTTTTATGCTTGCTTGGGAATGCTGTCTCTACACGACCCTGGTTAAGACTATTACTCTATTTTGATTAAGTTGGTGGTGGGAACTGACACTCATATTTTTGCCTAAGGAAAAAAAAGTACATTCACAAAGTAACATATGAAGTGACTACAAATGAAGAAAAATAAAGACACCACTAAACCACACGACGACTTCATTTCATCTTTTCCCCTCTCGGCAGAACTGGCTGAAGGACTGAGCTCCAAGAGCACTAGCAGCCAGGGCAGAGCGGACCTTCCAAGCCAAGCGGCTCCTCAGCCCTCCCACCGGCCCTGCTGGGCATCAGGGGCTGATGGCAGCAGCCATGGAGGGCTTATTTGAAGTAAGGTCTGATACAACCACAAGCCCCCTTGGCCTTGCGTGTCCAACAGCTGAGGGACAGACACTGGGCTGCTCCAGCCACCTGCGCTACAGAAGGTCTCTGCCTTGTGTGCGGGCCTCCTTGGAGGCAGAGGTTTCCCTGGAAGACAGCTGGGCATCGTGCTCTCTGCATGTCTGGCAACCCCCACCCTAGATGCCTGCTCATCAGTCCGCCCTCTCTGGCCAGGAGGCACACGCAGGAAGAAACCCCCAGAGCTGTGCCCTTGCAGATGGGAGCGCAATGTCTGGATCCCTTTATCCAGGGAACAAAGATTCCTGTGTCCAAGGACGAGGCCCGTAAGGATCAGCAGCCAGCTTGCTCCTCCCAGAAACCACACTGGTACGAACTGTTTCTGGATGAGAAGCACTTGGCCACAGTGCCAACGGTTGGTGTGACAGAACATCCTTGGTTTTTGTGTGAAAATGGCAGCTCAGAACTTTCCCCGCATTATTTGGATTATTGATTTTTTTTATTGTTTTATTTATTTATTCATGAGAGTCAGAGAGAGAGAGAGAGAGAGGCAGAGGCAGAGGGAGAAGCAGGCTCCCCGCCTAGCAGGGAGCCCGATGTGGGACTCGATCCAGGACCCTGTGATCATGACCTGAGCCGAAGGCAGATGCTTAACCATCTGAGCCACCCAGGCGCCCCGGATTATTAGTTTTTTAAAACCATAAAACACACCACATACACAAAAGAATATGTATAAATACGTGTATGGATGCACATTTTCAAAGAAAAATCATAGAACGTCCATATATTCATCACCCAGCTTAAAGAAAACAGAATGTCACCATTACTTCTGAAGCCCGTCCTGTCTCCCTTTCTCCTCCCCAGATGTAGTAGCTACCCTTAATTCTTGTTAATAATTGCTTTTCTTTACTGTCTTAACCACAAACTCTTAAAATGCGTTACACTTGACTTTTCTTAGCCTTTTAATGGGACTCTACCGTAGGCAGCCTTCGCGGACTTGGGCAAACTTGTGCTGACGGCGAGCAAACTCTGCTTCTGAGAAGCATCCCTCTTGATGCGGAGACCACCACCCTCCAGCGCGTGCGGCACTTCACTATGTTCACGTCCCCTAACAATCAGTGCATTCCACTGCTACTGTGAACAAGGTAGCCACGACCCTCTGTGTGAAAGTGTCTCCAGGTCACCTGCCCAGACACCCTCTGGCTTATGTGTCTAAGTCGCTGCAGGCATGCATATGTCCAGCTTTCTATGGATTGCCACACTCTTCCGAAAAGGTTGTCCAATGAACACCCCCAGCAATAGCGTGGAGGTTCTGGCTGTCCCACTTGCTAACCATTGGCATGGCTGGAATTCCCGTTTGACGTTTGACAAACCAGAGGGTGTGAAATGGCATCTCAATGTCATTTCACTTTACATTTCTTTAATTACAAATAAGGGTGAGCAGCTTTTCCTATGTTAATTGGTCATTTCTGTTTCTTATTCTTTTAGTAAAATGCCCAATTATGCCTTCAGCTCATTTTTCCATTTGGTTGCTTTTGTTTTTCTTAATGATTCACAGAAGAGCCTTGCACATTCTGGACACTAACCTTTGTTAATGGTTTGGAAAACCTCTCTGCCCTCTGGCCACGCCTTTGTCACTAAATGTTGGTGCATCATAGAACTCAGTAGCTCATTCTTTTCTCTCCTTTATTGATCTCATTCAGTCTCATGGATCTGATATCATCTTATATGCTCATGGTTCCCAATCCTATGAGACTGGCATGAATCTCTTCTCCAAACTCCAGGCCCATCTGTCCAACGGCCTGTTGGATGATTCCTTCAGGAAGGCCAACAGGCAACTCAAATCTAACATGTACAAATTGCATCCAGTCCACATGTACAAACAGTCCACAACAAACCTGTTCCACCCACAGTCTTTCCCATTTCAATTAATGATAATCCATGTTTCCAAGTACTTGCTCAGACTTTGATGCCATTCTTGCTCAATTTTCACACAGACATCTGGTCCATCTGCAGCTCTACTGGAAAATACACCCAGAATGATGGTCTCTCACCTTAGCCCCTCTGCCGGGCTCCCTGCTATGGCATTCAGTGGCACTCACATCCTCACAGGCCCAATATTCAATTGTCAGCATCCACATCTTTTTTTCCTGAGAATTTCCCCAGGCCAGGACACAAGTGCCAGAGAATTAACATTCTCTGGCCCCCTCTCCCCAGCAGGCTTCAACTAGTAGCTAACAGTACTTGCTGAAAAATACCCCAGTCATCCTGCCACTTGCTGGGATAATGGAGGCTCAGGGCTCCTAATGAGGACCCACAGTCGTAACTGACTTCATAGTACCATGTACTGGCTGCCTCCCTTCCCTGGCTCACTTCCTTGTTCCCCTAGTATTCCAGGGATCACCTCCCAAATAAATGACTTGCATTGAACTCCTGTCTTGGGGTCTGTTTCTGGGATAACCCAACTAAGCCCTAACTTGCCTAGCTGCTTCTGCCTGTGCCCTGCACTATATTCTCAGCCAGAGGTTTGGTCTGAAAAGCCAGATTATGTCACTCCTCTTCCTACCTCACTCAAAATAAAAACCAAAATTTACTGCAACTGCAAACCCTTCCCTGCTCCCCATTTCCTCTGCCCTTGCTGCTTCCCCCCTTGTTCACGATGCTCCTACAGCAGTGTGCCCACGTCCTCCCTCAGGCGTGCAGGTGCAGGGTGGGTGCCGGGCTCAATGTGGCTCCCCCAGGGCCCCCTGCTCCACGTCCTCACCTCACAAACCCAGACATCTTCACTTGGAAGTCAGCAACTCAGTGACGTCTTGTCTGAGCACACAGCCATCAAAGCCCCCCTCCCCCCAACCCGGTGTCTCATACCGCTTCTCTGCTGTGCCTTCTCCCAGTGCCTCTCATTGTGTAACACTGTGTCTCTCTCACTGGAATGAAACTCCAGAAGAGCAGAGATTTTCATCTTTTGTCCCAGCACTTAGAATACTGCTTAGCACATGATAGGCAGTGCATAAATATTTATAATGGATAAACAAAGGAATGTGATGCAAATATCCCCTCCCTCTTCATGGACTGCCTTTCTTCTTTTGATAAACAGAAACTCTTTATTTTATAGAATTTTTTTTCAGTTATGGATGGTGCTTCCTATAGTTTGCTTAAGCAATCAGTCCCTATCCCAAGGTCTTAAAGATAATCTCCTGTATTTTCTTCTAAGTTTTAAATTTTTTTCCTCTTGCATTTAAGTATTTTCATCCATTTGAAATCGATTTTTTTGTGAATGGTGTGAAGATCCAATTTCTGTCTTTCCCTATATTGATCATCATTATACCCACATCAATTGTTGAATTGTCTCCCCACTAAGTAGCATAGTCATACATCATGTTTCCATATACGAGTGATTTTGATTCTAGGCTCTTGATTCTGTCCATTGGCTCATTTACTATCCCCAAGTCAGCAGCACAGTCTTAATGTTCTAGCTTTATAATAAGTCTTACCATCAACAAGAACAGTACCTCTCCACCCCCACTGCCCCAGCAGCATTTTCTGCTTCTTAAGTATCTTGAGTATTTAAGGGGCCTTTGCTCCTTCTGATGAGTTGTAGAAGCAACTTGCCAATTTCCATAACAGACAACACAAAACCAAATTCACTTACTGAAATTACATTGAACCTACAGATCAATTTGGGCAAAACCATCTCTGAAATTGACCCTGCTTACTGTTTTTACGTGCTATCTGGCACCATCTATTTAAGGCTCCTTTACTATCTTTCCCTGAGGTTTAGCACTTCTCCACATAAAGATCCCATGTGTGGATGTTATTAGGGTTACAGCCAGGACTGCTGCTGCTGTTATGACATGCAGTCAACTACTCACTCAGGTACTCCACTCAGCAACTGTGCTAAACACTCTTAGCAGCTTGAGATTATTCCAGATTTCATCTACAGATAATAATGTTATCTATGAATAACGGCAGCTTTGCCTACTTCTGTTCTAATACTTAGGTGTTTTATTTTTCTTGTCTTATTCATTCAACAAGTGTCTACTGAATACCTGAAGTGTCAGGCATTATTCCAAGCACTGGAATATGGCAGTGAACCGGACAAAAACCTCTGTCTTCATGGAGCTGACATTCAATTTATTGAACCGACCAGGCCCTGAAGTTCAATGTGCTTATAGGTATTGTCCTTTTCTAATTTTAAAGGGAATTCTTTCCAAATTTCGCCATTATATGATGTTAGCACAGGATTTTTGGTAAATTCTCTTCATCAAGTCAATAATTCCTAGATTGCTAATAATTTCTATCATGAATACAATTTTAGTTTTATTGAATGTCTTCTCTGCACCCATGACAGGATCACATTAATAGTGTTCTTTGATCTGTTAATGTAAATTAGACTTTCTGATGCATTTTACATCTACGTTAATGAGTGAGCATGGAATATGACTTCCTTTATTATACTCTATCTTTTAAATAATTTTGGGGTACAGATTGTACTAGTCTCATATAAATAGTTAGGGAATGTACACTCTTTTTCTATTCACTGGAAGAATTTATTTAGGATTAGAATGTTCTTTCCTCATATTTTAGGTAGAAACCTAATGCATAAGACTACTACAACCAGTGGTATGAGGCAAGACCAATTAGTTATCACACCTCACACTTCCTACTCCTGGTAGGCTTCCTTGAGTTTTGGAGATGGCATACACCACTGAAGAAATACTGCTGTGACCCATTTATCAGATGACACAAAGCTGCTAGGTTTGAGAGGATTCAGAGCAGGAGAGGGCTCTCTAGTAGATCCATGCTACAGTACCAGGAGCCCTATAACGTGGGCCATAAGATGCAACAGATTCCACAGTGCTGGGGTATCTGTGGGAGATAAAGACACTGTGTGGAGTCCCTGGAAAGCCGGCATAGAAAAGTCAGTGCAAACACCTAGGATTCTGGAGCAAGGGCATGTCATCTAAGACATCACCAATGAGAGGGGCCACTCCTGGCTGCTGGGCCCTGGTGGACCCCGGGTCTGACCAGGAGACAACTGTGTCTATGGCACCAATGCTTCTCTTTATGAGTGTGTGTTGCAGGCCTGCCAACAATCCAGTGTTATGATGGAAGTGCTACATCCAGGGCCAAACCCAAGCACATCTAGAGGGCACAGACTCATGACAGGTGGCCCAGTGCCCCAGGCCTTGCACCTTTGCTGCACCTGTCTTCCTTACCTCACTCCTACCCCAACATATCATGGGATGATCACTAAAGCCAGGAGGAAAAACTCAAGCCTGTTACATGAAGCGGTTGGCTCAATACATTGGTGCCACCAGAACACCTCACAGAGACGAGCTGAAAGACAGTGGTGAGGCAGAGTTCTAGGTGGTGAACCCGGTCAGCCATGGCACGGATGGAGAAAGAAGTTGCCTGTGGTATGGATTATAGAACCTTAGGCAAGAGCTAAAGCTTGGCCAGGGCTCCGGAAGGAACAAAGGTTGGGGAAAGGCATCCAGATGGGCCTAGGGAATGGATGCGACATGCAGGTCCTTGTATTACACATCAGTGTCCACCACAGAGCATCCACAGCTGTAGGGGCACTAAAAACCAGGCCTTGAGATGGTTTACCCAACAGACGACAGCCAGCCTCTATCCTCACCAGCCCAAGTGTTCACATAGTAGATCCATGAATGGAGTGACCATGATGGCTGAGATGAAGGCTATGCCTGAGCCCAACAGGTGGGCTGATCCAGCCATGACCACTACTAAACACCTAGCCCACTATGAGCACAAGTCAACGAGGCCTCTACAATGCACCATGCTTTAGGCTGTCAACCAGCCACTTGGTGGTAATTTGCTTACATGAGAATCCTTTCACCTGGAAATGGTAGTGATTTGTCTCTACTGGGATCACTCATACTCTGGGTGTGGGTTTGTCTTTGCCCATGGAATACCTTGGCCTGCACCAGTATCAGAGATTTACCCATATTGGATTCCACATAACATCAACTCCAAACTGAGCAAGCAGAAGCAGGTACAAAGAAGCAGGTGACTCTGGATCCACTGGCATATAATATTCAACATCATTCAGGAGGTGGAAACCTCATAAAACACTGAAAAAGCCTCCTAAAGGCACGGATTAAATGCTGGCTTGGTGATGTACCTCACAGGGTTGGGATATTGTCCTTCAAGATGAACTGACAGACGAGAGATGGTACTGGGTGTCCAACTGTTGCACAGATCCAGAAAGCAAGGGGTGGAAGTAGGGGTGGCCCCTCTCACTATCCTCCAGCAAGCCAGGTCAGACTCTCTTCTCATCATCTCCATAAGTTTAGGTTTGGCAAATCTAGAGGTCCTGGCTCAAGGGGTAGGGAAGGCTTCCACTGTGGAACACCAAAGTCATGGTGGGCCCCTGTCACTTGTGTTCCTCATGCCGTAAGACCAGCAAGCAGAGCAGAGTTTCCAGGCTGGCCAGGGTACTGGATACTGGGTATGGAGAAGGGCAGAGCTACCATTACATAGGGTAGGAAGAAGTCTATCTGGAAATCAGGGGGTTCACTAGAGCCTTTCTAGTGCTCTGTGACCAGTCTTAATTACGACTGGACTACTATGGCAGCCAGAACCACACAAGGGTGTGACAAGCAGGGGCTTGGGCTTCACAGGGTGACAGTGCGGGCTGCCTCATCCCGCCCAGCAACTAGAGCGGCAGAAGGCTGGCCACCAGTCAGGGGACCCCAAAATGGGTTAGGAAGAATAAGTTAATGAACATCAACTTAACTCAGACTAGCTCTGACTGGTTACCAACCCTCTTCTCCCACACATCGTGACCAGCACCCTCCTGAAGAATGAGAGAAGTGAACCCAGTGTGAGATGTGGGCAGAGCTGGGTGGGGCCAGGGTAACAGCAGACACTCGTGCACTCCAGTGCAGTCCTGTTACCAAGGAGCCTGATATTCCTTCCTCCCCAGTGGTGGCCAGAGCCTGCTTTGCCTGCACGTGGGGTGCACTCAGAAGGGCTGGAGGTATCTGACAATTCAAACCCCCAGGTGCAGCCCTTAGTTGTGCACTAATCAGTACAGAGGCATAAGCTCTGCAACTCTGAGGTGTGACCACCCTGTCTCCAAGCCCCCATCAGGGATGACCCAAATGCACCCCAACACTTGGCTCCAGATACATTTCTGATCCTCCTTCTCTTACCCATCCACTTCCCCAAACCTCTCTCTCATGGTTTTGCCTGGGAGTGCTTCCTAAGAAATGACTTGTACAAGAACCCCACCTTAGTGTCTGCTCCTAGAAAATTCAACTTAAGACTGAGATGAGATTTTTTGCCATTTAATTCTGATATAATGCATTGTACTCAAAGAACATTGCCTTATGATTCAGATTCCTTGAAATTTGTCAAGACAATTTCATATTTTAGCACTTGGTCAGTTTTTATATATAATCTGTGTACGTTTGATATGAATGAGTATCTCATTTTATTTACACACACACACACACACACACACGTAAAACAAACCTAATATTCTAAAATATTCTAAATTCTTGTTGGTTTTAGTTCATGTACTTTGGTGCCAAGCTGTTAGATTTGTTAGACACACACAGATTTAAAAGATTGTTGTCTTCCTGGTCAGCTGTTACAATGAAGCTCCTAGGTGACTCTCAGACCACCAGACTAGAAGACCTTTTGGAAACCACTTTCTTATCCAAGAAAAAGTATTTCCCAAGACAATACCCAATCCCCAACTCCACCTCTGGAGAGGAGCCTCCTTCTTTCCAGGGGCTCCTGGGGAACTCTGGCAAGAGAGAAGGGGCTAACACTCAGGACCTGGAGGCGCACTGAGGAGCACTGCCCAGAAGGAAACCATTCTGGGGCCCTGCAGGAAGGAGAGGAAATGCTACTTACCGCAATCTCTGTTACTAAAATATCAGTAATACTTCCCAACACAGTGACAAAGTCAAAGACATTCCAGGCATCTCTGAAATAGTTCTGGAGAGAAAAAAGAGCAGTTACTGCTAGAGGCTGGTAAGCATTCTGCCAGGCAAGGAGTTGCAGGAAGTACCCCTAATCAAGAAAGGAGCAAAGGGACAGATGGGCCACCAAGGCGGGACACCAGAGCTGGGTAAGCAAACACCTGTGGGTCTGGGCAGGTGCAGAACTGAGAGCTGTGTGTCCAAAGAAGAGGAGCCTGGCCCCGCCTGTCTCCAGGAGCTGGGCTAGGGGCAGAGCTCAGGCAGCTCAGGGTATTGGAGCAGCCCCCCTTCCTCAGGGCCACCACAATGTCACATTTGCTCTGGGGGCTTGGGGAATTCCCACCTCTAAGCCACAAGTCCCTGAAGATCCCCCCTACAGAGAGGAGCCAGAATGCAGACCGCCAAAAGGCCAAGAGGGAGCCAAGGCACCTACCAGCACCCCAAAAGCGATGATCTTCAGCACGCATTCCATGGAGAACATGGATGTGAACACAATGTTCAGGCATTTCAACATTAGCTCATATTCATACGGTGCGTCATAGAACTGCACGGGGAATAAGTGCCATTGGCTACAGGTTCGGCTGCCCCAAGACACCCCAGCCTTGACCTCCTGCCAGAGCACAGAGAACTGCACGCCTGCCCAGGGTAGGGATACCCATCCCTGCTCCCCCCGTTTTCTCCCAGGACACTCTCACCATCTCAGCCCACAGAGAACCCAGGGCACTGGGCTTCTATAGGCATCCCATGCTGACCAGGACGTGATCAGCTGCAGCTATGGCTCTCTCTCTCCATCTCTCTCACACCCCAGCGGGCACCCACTGTCCCCCGTGCTGGGCCAACATACCTTCATCATTAGCACCACTGTGTTGAGGGCGATCATGGCCATGATGAAGTACTCGAAGGGAGGCGAGACCACAAAAGTCCATGTCTTGTACTGGAACGACTGCTTGTCCTGGGGCATGTACCGCGTCAGGGGCTTGGCACTAATGGCGAAGTCGATGCAAGCCCTCTGCCCGGGGAAAAGGAGCACTGAGAACATGGTGGGGGCGGGGGGAACCCACACTGCACCCCACACCCGTCTCTTCCATCCTCACAGGCAGCCCTGACCAGCCACACTCAGCCTCTCCCTGCCCCTGTGCTGGCCACCAGCTATGCGGTGGTGAGCGAGTACCATGCAGAAGGGAAGTCCAGTGGTTCTGCCCACACTGACCATCAGGGGAGCCCAGCAGAGCATCCAGTGCACACGTGCACATGGGGCAGAAGAGGGAGCCACCCACCTCGTTCTTCTCCAGGCTGCATTCAGACATCACCTTGTCCCCCTGCTCCTGGAAGGTGATGATGATCAAGGCCACAAAGATGTTGACGAAAAAGAAGGGGAAGACCACAAAGTAGACCACGTAGAAGATGGACAGCTCCATGCGGTACCCGGGGCTTGGGCCTTGCTCCTCATAGGTGGCGTCCACAGAGTGTTTCAGGACCCTACACCAAGGGCAAACACCAAGTGTCAGGGGGGCCCCTGAGGACAGAGCCATGGGAAAGTCAAGACCTGTATCACAGGTGTGGCTTCCGTACCTGAGCCCAGAGATGGCAAGAGGAAGGGGATGCTCAACACTGCAGGCCTCAGCCCGCTCCCTAGGACCGCAGTCTCCTGAGGTAGACTACCTTCCCGATAGGGCTTGTACTCAGGGCTGTTGGAGGGCCATCAAGGGGAGGTCTCCAGGGGCCGGAGGTCCTAACCCCAGGACAGGTGGAGGCCCAGGAGTTCTGCCCTGCCCTGCTTAATCCTAGCTCACACCTGCTCATGCCCAGTTCACCAGCTCATACCCAGCTTCACCTGCCTTTAGAAAACCCTGGGCTCCTGGCACAGCATTGATCCTACCTTCTGAGCAGTGGTCCTCCCAGCCCCAAAGGAAGTCCCCAGTCATCCAGTGTGGCACTGAACAAATACATCCCTCTGTCTATCCTTAACTGAGGCCAGAAGGGTAGCACAGGGAGATACCAAATAGCCCCATCCTCCCTCTGGCCTTCAGCCACTCAAAAACGATTTTCAGGAGATCACTATGCTGTGTACTTTGTCTTAATCTCATCCTCTTTCCAGGTTGCCCGCTCCTGGAAGGCAGAGCCATGTCTTACCTGGTGGGTGCAAGAGCCTATGGTGTATTTGCTGGATGACTAGAACACAAACGGATGCAGAGTTTGAGACTCCCTGCCCAAGCTGCCCCTCTGCTCTAGCGTGATCTGCCACAATGAGCCAGTGAGCACTCACATGGGCCACCCTTCTCCTGTGGACACTGTGAACAGCGTCAGCAGAGCCCAGAGCACATTGTCGTAGTGAAAGTCGTATTTCTTCCACTGCCGGGGCTGAGCTTCCACCTCCTCCTTCTCATAATCCAAATACTGGCCCCTGGGGATGAGAACATAGATGAGGTCAGAGGTTAGAGACAAAGGGTCCAAACACGCTGATTTGTCTATGGTCAACTGATTTTTGAAAGGGCTGTCCATCCAATGAAGGAAGAACAGTCTTCTCAACAGACAGAGTGGGACAACTGGGCGTCCACTTGCAAAAGAAGGAAGCCGGACCCTACCTCATGCCATGTACAAAACTCAACTCAAAATGGACCAAAGACCTAAAGGTACAAGCTAACACTAGAAAGCTGTTAGAAGAAGACACAGGAGGCCTGGAATTAGGGAAAGGATTGTTAGATACGACACCAAAATCATGAGCAGCAAAAGAAAAAAGTAGGTCAATTCGACGTCATCAAAATGTAAAGCTTTGTGCTTCAGAGACATCATCAACACACAGAATGGGACCAAATATTGGAAAATCGTCTCTCTGATAAGAGTTGAATCTAGAATATATAAAGAACTATTATAATCAATTATAAAAAAGACAAACACCCCGATTAATAAAAATGGATAAAACATCTGAATAGGCATTTCTCCAAAGAAGATGTACAAATGGCCAATAAGTACATGAAAAGATGCTCAACATCATGAGTCATCCAAGAAATGCAAATGAAAACCACAATGAGATATCACTTTATACCCACTAGGATGGCTATAATTAATTTTTAAAAAGGAAAATAACAAGTACTGGCAAGGATGTGGAGAAATCAGAACTCTCCCACACTGCTGGTGGGACTATAAAATGGATCAGCCATGTTGGAAAAGTCTGGCAGTCCCTGACACTGGTAAACAGAATCACCACAGGACCCATCAATTCCAGGGCTAGGTGTACACTCCAGAGAAATGAAGACATCTGTCCACACAAATACTTCACATGCATGTTCACAGCAGCATCAGTTCTAACAGCCAAAAATGGAAACAACCCAGATGGCCATCAACAGATGGGTGAATAAAGAAACTGCCACATCTACAGCAGGGAAGAACATCCAACCATGAAAGGGAATGATGCTCTGACACACGCTACCGCACGGTGACCTCAAAAACACGAAGGCGAATGAAAGAAGTTAGACACAAAAGACCACATATTTACGATTCCCTTTATATGAACAGGGAAATCTATAAAGACAAAAAAATAGATTCATGGGTGCTCAGGGCTAGAGATGGGGAGCTAGTGGGTAATAAAGGATATGCAGTTTTTTATGTTTTTTAACTTATGAAAATGTTCCAAAATTGACTGTGGTGATGATTGCACATATCTGTGAATGTATTAAAAAATCACTGAATTGTACACTTTCAATGGATGAATCACATGAATTATATCTTAGTGAAAACAAAGGCTACCACTAAATGGGGGAAAGGATGGGTCTTTTCAAATAAATGGTGCTGGGTCAACTGGATATCCATCTACAGAAAATTTATCTTTATCCATACCTCACCTAACACACAAAAATCAACCGCAGATAGATCCCAGATCTAAATGTGAAAGGTAAAAATAAAACTTTTAGAGGAAAACATAAGAGGACTTCTCCCTGACCTTCAGATAGGTTTTCTGAACAGGACACAAAGAGTACTAAATATAGCAGAGATAAATTGGACTATACTACAATCAAGACTTTGTTTTTTAAAAGACATGTTTTAAAAAGTTGAAAGCACCCCACAAAGGAGGAGAAGACAACCACAATCCATAGGTCTGACAAAGGATGACTATCCTGGACCTTACAAAATCCCTACAAATCAATCAGAACGAGAAAGACAACCCATACAGGGAACCAGGCAAAGGCTTGCACAGACCCTTCCCAGGGGCAGCTGAGCGGTCAATCACCTGGGGAGGTGCAGAACACCACTGGTCACCACACGGTGCAAATCACAGCACAGAGAAATGCCACCAGCCCAATGTCAGACAGAAAACACAAGTTTGCCCGTGCTGTGGAGTATTGGAGCTCTCATCCGTGTGCAAGAGCGTGATTTTACAGACATATTTGGCAGCACCTGCAGAAGCCGAACATAAGCACAGTGCACAACCCTGCAACCCAACTGCGAGGTCTGCACACGTCCTGGAACGGCGTATGTGTGCTCCCAGTAAACGTGCACTGGACAAGTCACGAGAGCTTCCGACCGGAAACACCCTGATGTCCACCAGGCACAGAGGGTGAGTATGTGGTAACACACTCCCACAAGAGACCACTGCATGAACAGAGGCAACTGGGACCATTGCCTGTGGGTGGAGAAGGGGCTGGCCGCACTGCCTTGCTCAGCATCCACACCAGTACCTACCTTCATTTCCCCTAGTTCCCCTCCCCCCCACCCAGGTCACCTTTCCTGTCTCCTCCGGGGTGGGGCCAGGTCCAGAAAGGGCAGCCCCTTGACCCTAGAGCCTAGCCTAGAGCCCTTCAGCAATATCCAGTGGCCCCCATGTGTTCCCCGATGTCTATGGGCAGGAAGAACATTTCCTCAGAAGTGGCTGGTCCCTGACTCTGCTGAGGAAAATGAGCCAAAGGTCCTTGGTGTGGCCTTAGGGACAGAGGCACACCCCCAGCTCTCTGGTACACCCCACGCAGGCCCCTCGCCCTCGCCCTCACAGGGCTGCCCACCCCGGCCCTGCCTCAGCTTACCGGCAGTCCCTCTCCAGCCCCTTAGACTCATCCGTGCAGTAGAAAAACTTCCCTTTGAAGAGCTGCACCGCAATGACAGCAAATATGAACATGAAGAGCATGTAGACGACCAGGATGTTGAGGACATTCTTCAGCGAGTTCACCACACAGTCAAACACAGCCTGGAGGGGAGGAGGGCTCTGCTCAGAACCTCAGGGCCCTCAGGCCCATAATCACAGAGGGACCTGCTTCCCGTAACCTTAACACAGGAAGCCACCTGCCGCTGCCTCTCCCAGGACTTGAAGAGTGGGCAGGAGGTGCTAGAAGGGGTGGCATGGGCAGATGGGCTGGACACTGACGGGACGCTTACGGGACAGGCCAACTAGTGAGGACAACTTGGTGCCCAGGTCCACCAGTGTCAGGAGGGGCTGACATGGAGGGAAAGGAGTGGGGATGGGGATATGGCCAGCCCTCTGCTCCTGCATCTGGGCCTGCCAGTGGGTCACACTTTGCCCCTGCCCATCAGTGGGAACCAATATGGGGTGGGAAGGCAGCGATGCCTTCCAAGACAGGGACTTGTGGCAGGTTTTGGTGTGGCCAGAGGTGACTCTGTCGTCTGTTAGCACCACCACCTGGGCTTCTTCTCAGGATCTTCCCTACCTGGAAGCTCAGCTTGCCCTGAACTCCCTGGCTGACCCTGGACTGCTGACCCTGGCCCTGGTCCCTGTTTCTCGGAGCTGAGGAGATCCCCCATCCTGCTCTGGCTGTCCACAACCATCTCCTGAGACTCTGCCTGGCACACTCAGACACCAGCAGCTTCCCCAGCAAATGCAGCCTCTGCCCACTTGCCCAGTGTCCCTGACACCCCTAACCTGCCAGCCCAGGTCCAAGTCCCCACCTGACACAGAGGGCCTGTGGCTGCCTTCAAGCCACCCCCAGCCCACCCCTTCACAAGCAAACTGCCTTCTGTAATCCCCACACTGCTTCGTGTCTGCAAGGCTTGCTTCTGCATGCTGTTCACAATACTTTACTGCACAATTTTGTGGGATTAAACGAGTTTAAGCATCCAAAGCATTCCTCACAGTGAGGAACACACTCAGCAAATTATCATATTTTAGCACAACTCCAAGGGTTTGGGTTCACACTCTTTCCTTTATCCAGAACCTCAGCCACACCTCATCCAGAACCTCAGGCCCAGCCCAGGAACCACTTCTCAGGACCCCCTGCCCTCCCTGCATCTCCTTCAGGACCCTCTGCGTCTCTCAGAAGCCCCTTCTTTCTTTTTTAAAATTTAATTTAATTTAATTTAAGAGAGAGAGAGGGGAAGGGCAGAGGGGGAGAAAGAATCCCAAGCAGACTCCACTGAGCACGGACCCTGACGCAGGGCTCAACCTCACAACTGTGAGATCATGACCTGAGCCAAATTCAAGAGTTGGAAGTTTAACCGCCCAGGCACCCCTCGGCAGCAGCTCCTTCCCTGTATAACAGCTGTTGGTGCTGCTGGGTCAAGGAAGAACCTTCCAGAGCACTACGGAGAGTAAGCTCCCCTGTGGGGAGAGTCATGGAACTGAGGGAGCTGGACCCACTTGCACAATGTGTGATCTGAGAAAACAAGCGTGGGTCCTCCCTCAGCTCTACTCATCCCACCCCACGTGGGAAGATGCAGCCAGACAGGGTTAGTTACATGGACACATGTGCACTCAAGAGACACAGCACACATCCACATTCACGCACACATGCACCCACACACATGCACGGACATGCACACACACATATCTGCACACATACACATGCACAGCACACATGCATGCACACACAGGCCTACACTCACATGTACATGCACAGCCTGCACATTGCTCGAGCCCCAACTCCAGGCTCTCACCTTGAGCTTAGGCAGCCGTTTTATGGTCTTGAGGGGCCGCAGGACACGCAAGACTCTCAGGGACTTGATGGTATTGATGTCTTTCCCTTTGGATCCTCTAGAAGGGAGAAGTCACACATGCAGACAGGCAGGATGCACACCCATGCCCAGTTCCCACAAAACCTACTGGGTTGCACTCCCCTGTGCATTTTGTCTTAGGCCCCAGGGCGGAATACCTAGGAACAGGGAGGCCTCTGCCCTGCAAGCACCACAGGCCACGGCACCTCCTCCTGTGGGTTTTGCATGACAAAGGCCTCATCTGAGCAGACAAAGGCCAGGACCAGGTCAAGAGCACCTGGTGTACAGGGAAAGCTGGGCTTCCAGGTGGGAAGAACCCATTCTCACAGACCACATCAGCCATTTCTATGCTAGTGGTCCCCTAACACCCACCCCAAACCAGTGTCATCTGGCCACCATGTTGAGACCAACAATGGGAATAAAGAGGAGAGAAGGGGGCTGGCCCCAGGAATGCAGACCTAGCTCAGGGCCAGCACCTGGAAACCTACAAGCCATTCGAGCAAGAGCCTTCTGGGAGGGCTGGCTTCTTTGCTTTTCAGTCCTGGTAGAGGGAGGGTAAGGGGAACATGTCAGGATCTCCCTGCCTGGGCTTGCGCATCTGCTCCTACAGTCCTCCAGATGATGTAACACTGACTGAGAGGGAGAGGAGGAGAGGGGTGGTAGGCATGAAGGAAGGGAAAGAGTGAAGCAGAGTAAGAAAGAGAAAAAGTTAGATGAATACCGAGGTAATATAAGGGACAATGCAATGCAAGGGGTGGACAGAGGAAGAAAGAAAGAAATAGCAAAGGAAAGAGAAAGAAACAGACAGGGAGGGAGGGAGGGGAGGGGAGGGGTAAGAGCCCACAGAGAGACAAAGAGAGCAGCAGACAAGAAAACCCAGACTGGGGGAGTAAGACAGGGAGTCAGGAAAAGAAAATTCTAAGCACCAGACGCAAGCTTGGAGATCCAGGACCAGTGGGCCCAGATCGGGTCCCTCACAAAGGAAGACGCCCGAGCAGACCCAGGTGGCTCCCTCAGGCTGCCAGGGGCCCAGCTGTTGTCAGACTCTGGGGGCTGGCCTTCTCACCAACCCAAAGCCAGGGCAGATATCGGGGGTGAGGGGTGGTCCCCTGATTGACCTTCATAGACTGCCTAAGGAGGCAATTCTTAGAAGCAAGGCCACACCCCACCCTCAGCAGTGGCTGAGGACTCAGGACTGGGGATCCTATTCCATCCTGCTCAGAGGTCACCTCCCTCCAAGTTCCCAAGGAGCCTGTGCATGGGGAGAGGGGACAGGGCCTCCAGTGGTCTTCTTTGGGCTGCTGCTCAGCTCTAGGGAAAGTGAGCTGTGAGGTCCAGGTAGGATCTGTGGGTTAAGGAGAGCTGGGGAGCCCCAGTCCCTTATATCTGCCCCAAGACCCAGCCAGGGCCTACATTCCAGAACCAGATCAAACTCCCTCTGAAACACCCAGCCTCCAGACCACCGTGTCAGGTGTTTCTATCACCCCAGCATTCTGGACACCTGCCCCCAAACCAGGTTCTTCCAGCAGCCCTGTTGAGACCAGTACAGAGAGAAGAGAGGGCAGGGTGGGCAGGCAGACACCTGAGGGATGCAGAAGGGAGGGACACTGCTTTGGTTTTGCAGGGGAGGGCTCTCTGCAGGGACAGGCCTCAAGGTGGTCTGTGTTCTGTGTCTAGAGGCCTCATTTCTCACTTGCCAGCTCAGTGCCTTTCTCCTGCTCTGAGGTCACCTGGCTGGACTGCACCCCTTCCCCTGTCTTACTCTTAAGCCCCTGACTGACACTTTATATACAAAGAAAACTGGTTAAGACCCCCAGAGAATATGCTGGGCATTGCAGGGAGGCAGTTGCAGAGAACAGAGAGAAGAAAGAGAGCCTCTTTGCCGGAGAAGAGACATGGGAAGGTACCTCAGGAAGGTACCAACATCCTGGCAGTCATGGTTACAGCAGCCCCCACCAAGAGCCCTCACTGCCCTCAGGGCCCAAATTCCTGGCCCCCAGCACTCACTTGGGGCACCTCCCCAGACCCAGCCCCCAACCCAGCCCCCAGAGGTGAGGCAGCAACGCATGGCCTGGGGACATGGCTCCTGGCAGCATGCACTCTGGAGAATGGAGGAGGATGAGCGGAGGTGAGTCGTGCTGGTGAACGGCCCAGGAGGGGCCATGCTGGGCTATGATGTGGGGCAGTGTGAGGGGCAGAGGGAAGGCATTACCCCATGAAGCTCCTACCGAGAGTCCAGCAACAAAGAGACAAAGAGAAGAGAGTCAGTGAGGAGGCCTCGCCCTCCCCAAGTGCTCAGAGAAGATGCAGACACGTCCCTTGGATCTTCCTGATCTCTGGGTCTCCTCCGTAGCTCCACCCAAGCCCCCCACACCTGTCCCATGCCCACCACCATGCAGGGTCTGAGGGAGTCAATCCAGGCCCAGCCACAAGGGAGCTGAGTTTCATCCCCTAGGGAGTCAGAGAAACCAAAGGTCTAATACTCCGACAGGGGAAGACAGCCACCAGCTCTGGCTGACCAAGCGGTGCAGCCGAGATCAGGGCAGGTAAGTTGTTCTGAAAGACCCAATAGGCAGGCACCAAACAAACCAGAGGCCTGCTCACCCAGTGTCAGAACCACAAGCCGTGGCAGGGACAAGTGGGCCTTGAGACGCTCTCAACCCCATACAGCCCAGCCCCAAGTAGACAGCCCATGGAGGCCAGTGGGGCCCCCTCCTTCCCTTACCCCCACACCCACCACAGCTCTGGGACTGCAGCCCAGTCAGACCCAGAGCAGACATGGTACTTACGAGAAGGCAAATGCCACCAGGGCCCCACTGACCACGATGAAGTCCAGAATATTCCATAAGTCCCGGAAGTAGGCCCCAGGGTGTAGGAGCAGTCCCAAATCAATCATCTTCAGGGGAGAAACACATATGAGATGCTGACTATTTCAGAAAGAAAAGCAGGGCCAGGCCCCAGACTCATGGGGTTGGGGGGAAGGATGCCATTCAGATCACGTCCTCTGAGGGCCTCAGTGGGCCTTCAAACCTCAATGCCATTGAGCCAAATATCCCTACATGGTCACGACTGGCTGAGATCTTGTCTGGGCTCCCAAATCCCCTGGAGAACCGCCCCCCCTTGCTGGGTTGCAAGCATACACCACGCCAGGAGGCTCACGCCCTGCCCAGACCCTCAGAGGGTCAGCTCTCTGAAGCAGGAGGAAGAGCTGGTGGGGTTCACAAGGACCGGGCTCTGCCATCCCTAAAGCTGTGATTTCTGGCAAGCACCTTAATGTCTCCAAGCCTCAGCTTCCATGTCTATAAAATGGGATGACCAAAAAAAAAAAAAAACCTCTCCCATGAGTTTGCAAGAGGAAGTGAAGAAGCAGAGGTGACAGACAGATGCACGCGCACACACGGAAGTCACCAGGCCACGGGCACATCCTAAGCTGCCCTGTAGTCAAAGATGGCACACAGCCACTTGTCAGTGATAAAGGAGCAGTGCCCGTCAGTCCTCAGAGACAGAGCGACCACGATGAAATGGTCTGTAGCCTAACATGAAGCACTACAGCTCTTTGAAACTAAAGTCTTCAGCGCCCACGCGCCATGATGTTTGGGTGCTGGGGCCCTCGCTCTCCCCAGCTTGACATCACGAGACAATCCTGAGGGTGGGCTGAGCCCACACTTGCACATTCCCGAAGCCTGTAACCCTTGGTTAGCAGGATGGCGGAGGCAGGATCGGCACTGGGGTGCTCTCCCAAAGCCGGTGTAACACTGTGGTGAATCTCTGGTAAACTGGCCTCTGCCCTCCGCAACACACATCAGCACACTCGTGTGCACGCATTCTCTCACTGAGCACACACCCAGGGCACACCCACAACATGCCCTCATCAGAGGCTACAGGTCCCGGCCCGTGTCAGTCATGAGGGAGGATGAGTGGAGCACTGGGCCACCAGGGCAACCACGTATCTCACCTTGATCACCATCTCAAAGGTGAAGACGCCTGTGAAAATGTAGTCCATGTACTTCAGAGCCTAGAACCAACAGGAAGGTTACTGTCAAAGTCTGGGCCGACAGCTTGAGCCTGGACAATTTCAGCAGCATCATGCTTTTCCTCCGGGCCTCTGAACAGACAACCCCTTGGCAAGTGTGCCTGTGGGCCAAGCCCTAGCCCCCCACGGGCCCCGGCAGCGGCCCTGGCCCCAGGCACATGCCCACTCTTCGTCTGCAACTCAGGGCTGGGCCAGGAGGCACCCGCAGACCTTCATCCCCACATCCCACACCTCCAGAGGGAGCAGACAGGACCCTAGCATGGCCCAGCCCCTCCACCACCTGAGGGCCGTGCTCACGTTGTTCCTGGGCGAGTCTGTCCGCACTGGATCCTCGGCAGCCAGGGCAATGCTGCTCAGGGCGATGACCACGAGAATGACCATCTCAAAGTACCGCATGGTCACGATATAATGGCAGAAGCGGCGGAGCCTGCAGGGCAAAGCACAGATCGCCCGAGGCCCACCGATGAGCTGGGCTGGACCCCCCACCAGAGTGCATGCCTGGCCTCTCCCTGTGGAAGGCGTCACACCAGAACCAAGTTCTACTGAGTGTCCCTGTGGTTGGGAGACAGCGGCCAGGTGACCAATGGTGCCTCAGATTCTCGAGCAGGTGTCCCAGGAAGAGGGGTGGGAAGGCTGCAGAAACCCACAGCAGGGGTCAGCCCACGCAGTCACCTCCTGTGTGTGTGGACGGCGGTGCCCTCTGCAGATTTACAAAGGCTGTAAGTGGGGGGGAGGGGGTCCCGGGAGGGCTGCTCAGAGAGGACAAGGCTGAACGCCAGCACTCCTGTGGACAGCAGGCCTCTCTGGAGAGCTCAGGAAACTTCTCTGGGTCTGTGCTGGCCCAGCCCGTCTGAGTCCCCAGAACTGCGTGTGTCACCTGCCTCCCTGCAGCACCAGGCAGCATTACTGACACTATTCTGTTCTGTTCGTGCACCTGTCGGACACCGGGGCCCAGTGGTGGACAGGGCACCAGAAAACAGTGTGGACATACACCAACAGGAGGCCCTCAGATGCTCACAAATGCTCCAGGACAGCAGCAGGGACCAGGGGGTCTGCGAAGAACCCTCGGGGGGGCGGTGAAGCTGGTCCCAGGTGACAAGGAGGGGCAGCCACAGAACCAGCACACAGGCGGCGCGGGGACAGACCCGCGTCTCACCTCTGCGACCCGCACCTCTCTCACCACCACTGCTCTACTCTTAGGCTCTTAGGTCTGAAGGGACCTTCCACCTCCCAGCCACACCCACCCACCTCTCTCTCTGCCTTGAAGGGACTGCTATGCTCTCCTCTTCGCCATGACCACTGCCATACTCCGGCCTCCATGCCAACCAGAGCCACCCTTCCCAGGCCCCTGGTGAGCTCCCGGCACACTTTCCTCTGTACAGACACAGCTCTCCTCCTTCCTCCAGGACACTCCGTCTCTGCGTCTTTCCTTCTGCATCTCAGGACTGAGCATCTACCCTCAGCTCTACCCCTGGCCAGGTGAGTCCACCTGGCCATGAGACATCCACTAGCTGCCCCTGCTCTGCAGGGTCTGCACTCGCCTGCCCCCAGCTCAGTGGGGCCCCAGCTGTCATGCAGAAACTCTGGGTGTCATCCCTGACATCTCCTTCCCCTTCCACATCTAATTTATCAAGTTCCCTAGATTCTCTCCAAAATATCTTCCCAAGCATTTCACTCCCAAACCTCCCCACATGACCACCATCATCAGACCTCGCCCATCTCTTCCTCAAAACCATGACCACCTACTAAGCTCTGTGCAAGGACTCTGCTGAAGTACGGCCTGACAGTGTCCCCACTGACCCCCAGCTGCCTACAACCTCTCTGCTCCCTCCTTCACACGTCAGTGCTCACAGGCAAGGGCCACACTCCCTAGCGGAGCAGAGTAAGCTCCCAGGAAATGTGTGCTGAGTGAAGGCGTGAAGAGAGGGAGGGAGTGGAGGCTGGGTAGAGAGACTGCAGGCTTGGAGGGACGGGGACACAGGGCACAGCCTGACTCCATCGGATCTTGCTGCCCTCTGGCCCCCCTGCTCTACCACACTGGCCTCGATCCACACACTTTGCTCTATCTGTTGCCACTGCCAGGGATGGTCTCCCTCCCCTTCCTCACCAATCTCACCTCCCACTGACAACCAACCTGCCCTTCCCACCCTAACATTCGCACCCCCGGCAGCTTTGTGCTTCCTCTTAGTACTTCCCACCATGTGATGTCTTAGGCCCCTTACTTATTTGTCTGGTTTGCTGTCTGTCTCTCCTACTTGCCCAGACGCTTATCAAGGACAGGGGTCCTTGTTTGTTCTGCTCCTTACTCTGTATTCCCAGCACCTAAAATGCTGTTAGTATGTAAGTACTAGGTGACCCAATGCAGTAGATGGACTGATGAGTGGATGAGAAATGCTGGTGACTTCATGATAAACAGAGGGGAGAAAATGGGCAGACATGTGAGTGAACGTGGTACACAGATGCATGCACGTGTGGACAGTGGGCATGATGGAAGGTGGACACATGAGGGACATAAACTGGGTGTGTGTGTGAGGCAAGGAACAGTCACTGCAGTGGGGGATAGTGGCTCTGGGGCTGACTGTGGGTTCAAACCCCAGCTCTACCATTAGGGCTGACTGGCTGTGTGTCTGTGGACAGGCCATGGACCTTCCCCATGGCTCTGTGTCCTCATCTGTAGGGAGTGCTTGCAGATTGCTGTGATGATCAGGACATTAAAGTGCACAGAATCAGTGCCTGCCAGGTCACGTCTAGCATACGCTGCTACCGTGCACATGGACCACGGCCACAGACATGGGATAGGCACATGGCCTGGGCAGGTGAAGGAGACTCACAGGTTGGTGGGGCTTAAACAGAACATGGAGCTGTATGGGACGATGGGTCGCGGGCCACTCCTCATCACATCATCAGCTTCCACCTCCTTCTTCCCCTCAGCTTGGCTTTCCAGGTCCACGTTACCACCTACAAGGACACAGGGCCACCAAGTTAGAGGTGTGGTGCACGTGAAGCCCGCATCATCCAGGTCTTACCCAAACAACAGACACAGTCCCAGCCCCAACCCCACCGGCCTTCAGGGACCCAGCCAGGGAAGGGCGTGTGGCTAAGAACAGAGCTTCACATGAGACTCCCTCCAATCGTGGACAGATCACGACTGAGGACTGAGCCAGCACTGGAGGCCCTTCCTCACCTCTCACTGCACAAGGGTCAGGGCAGGGGCAGCACCAGGCCCTGTGCGGCTGGCTGTGGGCCTCTGCCTCCACTAGGGGCCGCTGGTGTAGATGTTCTACTGACACCCAAGTCCCCCCCGCCGCCCCCCCGCCCCCGCCCCCTCCACCGCCGGCCCCAGAGACCAGGGCCAGCAGGCTCCCCCGCCTGGTTCAGGGATCAGTGCCTCCTTGAGAAAAGTCACCAATGCCCCACTGCTTCTGCAGGGATCGCGGGACCGCAGGACAGGGAGGAGCAGGGGCCGGCCCTGGACACTCTTCTGAACCTGAGAATCCAGGTGGACCCTGCCTGGGATTCTCTCCTTCAGGACCCTGGCAAAGGTCTGCAGAGCCAGGGCGGTGACCCAGGGAGAACTTCAGCAGAGCCCACATCTCGTATGGGCTCCTGCTCGGCTCCTCACTGCTCATTCCCCTGACCCTAAGCCCCCACCCTTTGCTGTCCCACTAATCAAACTACCCAGGGTTAAGATGTCTTGTTAAGTAGATTCTCTTAGGTAGATTCTTGTTCTTGTTAAGTAGATTCTGGTGTCTGTGCATAGTGTTTTTCTCACAGTGACTTTTCATTTTTCACTATCCCAAAGTATGTTTCCATTCTTGTGGGTTAACAGAGTTCCCGAGACCTCGGGGATGCCCAGGAACACAGGCCAGTGACTTGGAGCCAATGCCTACTACTGTACCTCATTTTTACTTCTTACAAGAAACATAAACGTAAAGAGGATGTTAAAAGGCAGAAGAAACGAGGGTAGTTATCCCCAGAGCCTGTGTGGCCGCCAATCCCAGAGAGGACAGCTAGCCTGAGAAGAAGCCCTGGGTGCACATGGAAGAGCTCATAGCAACAGCAGGAGCTCCCTGCTGATGGTGTCATTATATAATCTTCTCAGAGAGCAGTTTGGCAATAAAGTCCTAAAAAATTCTATTTATTGATTTAATCTGTAACCTGTATTCACAAAGGTGTTTGTTGTAAGTTCCTCTACAATAACAAAAAAATTACAAAATGTACAATCATCGGAAAAAGACTAAGTATGCAATATTCACATGATTCACCATACTACAGATATTAAAAATGCCTACAAATAGTTTCAATGACAAAAGAAGCTTAGGATATTATAAGTTAAAAAAAAAAAAAAAGGCTGCATACTTGTACATCCCAGATGAGCTCAACTCCAAAACAATAATATATGTGGGGAGAGAAATAACACCAAAACAATAATAATAATTGTGGTGATCTCTCAATAGCTGACAGTAATTTTAATTCCCTTCACTATACTTTTAACACTTGAAAAAATTTTCCATGATGAGTATGCATTATTTTTAAATTAAGAAACGTTTATTATTTTAAAACCACAGCTTTTCTTTTCAGACTCCTCCACAATAACAATAAGGCAGGACCAATATGGACTCAATGAAGAATTTTGCTGCTCAAAATAAGTGGAACAAAGATGCCAGAAACTGGATGGAAATACTCCTCCTGAAATAGACTTACAGCAACAACAAAAGTCATCAATTAAGTCAAAGCAGACCAAGAAAAACAGGAGAGGATCAAAATGGAACTACAGCAGACTAAGTTCATTGTTAGAAGCAGGTTCCTAAAAAAACAAACAAAAGACTTGACAGTAACAAAAATTAAATCATGAAACAGGACACTGCATCCAGCAAAATGGCCGGATACAGAGCAAGGATGAAGAGAACACTCACGAGAAACAACCACATGCTGGACGTGGTCCAAGCGCTTTTTGCCTCATAACAGCACTCACCAGCTTCTGCCATCACCTCTCTGTTCTAGATGAAGACCTGAGACATTACCTCGTGGGGAAACGATCTACCAAGGCCGGGATAGGGTCCTGAGCCTTGGGCTCACTACAAGGTAGGGAGCTACATGAGGGTTCCTACTAAGCTGCTCTCTTCAAAGAGAGCTAAAGTGAGCCCAGACTGGTAGTGCCCTGGGCTTCCGGGAAAGCAGATGGAATGACACAGCATCCCTCATCTGGTCCTACAGATTGGGCAGCCCATCTCAACTTGAAGAGAATTTCAGCCCTACAGACATCCATGCTACAGAAAGAATTTCTCTCCTATACATTCAGAAGAGCACTAGCTATATGCCACCCTTGAGAGAACTGAAAAAGCAGTCCATCAATTCATTTTCTATAGGGCTTCATTATCTCACAAAACCCCAGCCAAGAAATGGTGGATTAAGGTCAGTCATATATGAACTCAAAATAAAAAATATCACCAAACAGACCAGGAAGCAAGGTCACCATGAATGAAAGACAGCAGAAATAAGTAATTGGTTTACACCCCCCACAGACTTCAGATACAAGAATTAAAAAGAAAAAAATTTAGATGGAGAATATAAAGTAGCTAAGTGTAAATATGTAAATCAATAAAAAATTAATCTTAAAGAAATGAACAAACAATAGAAGTCTATAAAATTAACCCAGCATTTCCATGACCTGTGACAGAGAAACTTAAAATGGACTCATCCTCCCACTGAAAACAACCATAAAAACTGAACAAAATATATAATGTAAGTGTTTAAAGGCACAACAAGTCACAATCCTTGGAGGAAGGGAAGCACAGAGGTGACCCCATATTCCCCCAAGATTTTCCCCTAAGGCCATGTACCTATTTGTAGTGCAAGGAAACAGAACCCAGTAGAAAGCAACACTTTTACAGGGAGGAAGAGAAAAAGACTGGAGTTTGGGAACGACAAAGTGTCTGGGAATGAGGGGCAAAATCCCAGAGTGAAGTGCAGGGGAGACGTGAGTCACTCCACCAGCCCCAGTTAATCCCCCCCCCCCCCACTGCTGCATATGTGCAAGAGGAGTCTGGCCTCCACTGGAGGAAAACGCCCTGAAGGAAACTCTTGTCAAAGAAGAGGGCAAGGCTGAAGGCTTGATGCCAGATGTCAATGCCAACAGAGATTTAATTCTGCTGGCACTCAATTTTATTAGGGTTGTTCCTGTTTGTGTTAGTGTTCTAGTTACAGAGTTGCACAGATGTGGAATCATTGCCCTTTACCCTACTATAAGGCCTATTATTTCCAGGGCATGACATTTTCAGGAATGCACACATCATGTTGTAGCAGGAATGTCTGTAGTTAAGAAAGACAGAAAATGATATTAATCAGAAACTCAAGAAATAATAAGTGTTGGGGAGGATGTGGAGAGAAAGGAACCCTCTTGCACTGTTGGTAGGAATGCAAACTGGTACAGCCACTGTGGAAAACAGTATGGAGTTTCCGCAAAAAAATTAAAAATAGAATCACCACATGATCCAGTGATTCCACTACTGAGTATTTACCCAAAGAATAGGAAAACACTAATCAAAAAGATACATGCACCACTGTGTTTACTGCAGCATTATTTACAATAGCCAAAATATGGAAGCAACATAAGTATGCAGTGATAGATGAATGGATAAAGAAGATGTGGGGTATATATATATACACACACACACACACTAGAATATTACTCAGTATTAAAAAGAATGAAATCTTGCCATTTGCAACAATATGGATGGATATAGAGAGTATTATGCTAAGTGAAATAAGTAAATCCAAGAAAGACAAATACCACATGATTTCATTCATATGTAGAATTTAAGAAACAAAACATTTGAACAAACAAATTAAAAAGAGACAAACAAAAAAATAGACACTTATATACAGAGAAGAAACTGCTGGTTGCCAAAGGGGAGGTAGGTGGGGGAACGTGTGAAATAGGTGAAGGCGATCAAGAGTCCACTTATCATGAGGAGCACTGAGTGATGTATAGAATTGCTGAATCAGGGCTACCTGGGTGGCTCAGTCAGTGAAGCATCTGCCTTCGGCTCAAGTCATGATCTCAGGGTCTTGGGATCAAGCCCCACATCGGGCTCCCTGCTCAGCGGGAGTCTGCTTCTCTCTCTCCCTCTGCCTCTACCCACCCCTGCTCATGCTCTCTCTCTTTCCTCTCAAATAAATAAAAAGAGAAATCTTAAAAAAAAAAAAAAGAATTGCTGAATCACTATATTGTACACCTGAAACTAATATAACACTGCATGTTAATTATACTGCAATGAAAAAATAAATAAAATGATATAAAAAAAGATCTAAGATGCAATATAAAAAGGAAAGCCAAGAAACTGATAAATCTAAATAAACATGATCTCTATAAAGTCAAAACAATAGGGGCGCCTGGGTGGCTCAGTTGGTTAGACGACTGCCTTCGGCTCAGGTCATGATCCTGGAGTCCTGGGATCGAGTCCCGCATCGGGCTCCCTGCTTGGCGGGGAGTCTGTTTCTCCCTCTGACCCTCCCCCATCTCATGCTCTCTCTCTCTCTCTCTCTCTCATTCTCTCTCTCAAATAAATAAATAAAATCTTTTTAAAAAAGTCAAAACAATAATAATAACTACACTACTTTGTAAGGTTAGAAAAGGGACTACAATGCTGTCCTATGAAGGAAGTTGGGAGAAATGTGATTGCAACAGGTGCATAGCCTTGCTCAAAGGGAACTTAGAGTAAAAAATAACTACAGACTTTGTTACGCATGCACAATAGCCATTACAAGGGTAACCACTAAAAAAAAATAAAACAGAAATAGAGTTCATAGCTTTTAAACTAGTAGAGGGAAAAATGTGATACGTAAGCAAATAAACAACCAATTATTCAATATTTCTAAAAGGAAGCAAAGAAGAAAAAAGCATAGGAAAAATGGAAAAAAAGTCACAATCTAAAATGGATGAAGCAGTAAAAAGG